AAAAAAAAAAAAAAACTCCAAAAAATCCGAAAAAAACTATGTTATGCAGAAAAATAAACTGAACAGTTTTTGCCTCAGGGTCACATTGAAATTCTGCACCAAATTTAGAATAAAAAATAAAATTTTATTTTTTTTATTTTTATTTTTATTTTTTAATTGTTTTTGGCCCGGCCGGGCAAGTGACCCCGGGCCACTCTGGTAGCCTACTAATAACTTAATAAGCAGTAGTACTCAGTACTAACCACAGCTTACTGTCTTTCAGTATTCACAACTTGGCTCACACAACACTTGAACCAGTTCTCAACAGACCAATCCCAAGTCACTTCAGAAAAAGAGTACGAAAATCAGAAAAAAACAGAACTTTGAACTTTGAAGTTAGACTTTCTAATTCATATGAAAATTGAAAATTGAAAATTTAAACTGTTAAGTTATTCAGATCTGTGTAAGTACTAAGAACAGATCTGAGATCTGGTCAGGACCAGATCTAAGACGGGAACTCAGATCTGACCAAAATCTTCTCTCTCTCTCTCTCTCTCTCTCTCTCTCTCTCTCTCTCTCTCTAGCTTGATGTTTTTTGGCACTTTGCAGCCAGTGCTTCATTTTTGGAATCAGACTCATCATCATCCGATGAACTACCAGTGTAGTACAACAGCAGAGGGAGCTGTTGGAAGCGTCTGGCGGCGTCCAGTAGGCCCTGAAATGGCCAAAAAATACCGGGGGCATTTTTGGGGGGGGGCCTAGGACCCGAAAAACGTCCTAGGCCCCCCCAAAAAAAATTTTGAATTTTTCAAAATTGGGCCCATTCCAGACCTACCGGACAAGACACCGGACCCATACCAGACAACCGGACTGTCTGGATTCCGGTCCAGACGTCCGGCCGGTTGCCATGATACTTTTCCTTTTTTTTTCTGGCATCATACGCACTTCTCAGAGTACATGGTATAGTATAGTTTAGTGTATGGCCATGGTCACACTAGGGCTACTGTCTTCCCCCCACCCAAATCGAACACCCAGTCATTATACCTGTATTTGGGGCAACTTGCAATCTCGATACGGCAATAATGACCCGGACGTTCTATTCACATGAAGAGAGTACCGATTTCCTGGAATGCGCCTGACTGACAGAAAACAGGTCCAGAAAGATTAAACCGCTGCTAGTACATGGCCCCAGCCTTGCAGTCCGAAACTTGTCGCAACATCAAACGCTGGGCCTGCCGTTGATAAATTGGATCGGTGGTCCTTTTTTTTTTCTTCGTTTCGCGCTTCCAGAATTTGAGGTGTCAGGCCCGCCCGTCGCCAGGTAGTCGTGTACTGGGGCTTAATTCCAAACAAAGTGGTACCGTCTTCACCCGAATAGAAAACCCAGGTCGATTTCCGGGAAAAAAAACTTCTAGAATCTCGGTTGAAGACTGTGTCGTCAGGTCAACAACTATTTCAGTCCACTGCAAGCTTTATACACACTTTCACAGAGCATAGTAAAAGTACTAGCACTGCGGCTTTAGTAGCTGAATCTGCCCGCAATTCCGGCCAGCCCTGGATGCATCCGGCCACAATTAGGTCCTTGTTCAGGTGCCAGTACACCTGTAAAATTGTTTGTGATAGTCTTCGATACCCAGATGCATTTGGCCGCAATCAGGTCCTTGTTCAGGTGCCAGTCTCACAAGGCAATACGGATAAAGTCCTACACCACGTTCAGTTACCTTCCACATGTCATCAATTGTCTAGAAATCCTGATGAATCAGCCTCCTGATGAGTCTGTTGGTGAAACTCCGACAAAACAGTTTCTCACAGCCCCTCGTTTATTGTCCTCTCTTCTCCCTCTCTGCCTACGGTTTACCGGGCAGCTTTGTTTGACGATATATCTAGTATACATATATTGTCACATAACTATGAAATAAAAGAGCGCACTTTGCGAAACAAACGGCAAAAATAAAAAACAAAAAAAATAAGACAAGCATGAAGGGCACAGTGAAACCATTCATTTTTCTCATTCTTCTTTTGACTCCCCTTTCACCGTGCCTCTAACGTACAAGGCTCGCCACGTTGATGAAGTTGAGCGCGAGCTGCCCCCATCCCCGTGTGCCATAACAGCCCACTTGTACGCTGTGAGAAAGAGGCAGAGTGAAGGGGGAGGGGATAAACACAGGGAGGAGAGATGGAGACCAGACAAACAAGGAACAATAAAGGGAAAGGGAAAGTACGGAATGTGGAGTGAAGATGAAGGCAAAAGAGGATAAGAAAAGGCTGAAGAATGAGTCTGTCCTTGAGGACAAAGAGGACATACATTGTAAGGATGAGGTGGATGCAGTTTCCACTGCTGCAGTCTCCACTCCTGCAGTTTCCACTGCTGCAGTCTCCACTCCTGCAGTGTCCACTGCTGCAGTGTCCACTGTTGTGGTTTCCACTGCTGCAGTTTCCACTGCTGCAGTTTCCACTGTTGCGGTTTCCACTGCTGCAGTTTCCATTGCTCCAGTTTCCACTGGTCCAGTTTTCGCTGCAGCAGTTTCTACTGCTGCGGTTTCCACTGCTGCAGTTTTCAGTACAGCAGTTTCCCTAACTGTAATTCCCCCTACTTTAGTTTTTACTGCTACAGCTTCCTGTCCTGCAGCTCCAATGCAAAGAACATCACAATCTCTCCGACGCTCTCGTCATTTGCTCCAAAATCCTGCCCAATGCACCCCCCTCTCATCTTTGTCTGTGCTTGGCCGTAGACGGCTGCGTTCCTTCTCACCGCCCCCATCTCCTCCATGGTCTCGGTTGCGAACAGACTCTCCAGTTTCCATTGTTCCCATTGTTCCACCTTCGTTGCTAGTTACAAGTTCAACTTTTGTTTGCAACACCACTACTCCTCTTGTTGTGTATCACCGACGACATCCACGGCCTCGTCACTTGTCCGGGGATCAGCAACCTGTTTCTTTGTCTGCCCCGATTCTCTTTGTGCCTCCTCCACAGGTTGCTGCGGTTCCTTTGTTTCAAACGGCAATATCCGCTCCTATGCCTCCTGCAGACACTCCAGCTGCCTGCAGGCAGCCACGGTACCCTGCGGCGTTAGATATTCACGACTCACCTGTACAACACGATGTGGTCCCTGCCCAGAGTACACTTCCGACTCCAGGTACAATCCCTACTCAGGATGCAGTCGCTGCCCAGAGTACACTCCCGACTCCAGGTACAGTCTCTACTCAGGATGCAGCCCTAAACGTTGAGGGATTGGAATATGATTTGCCCGGATTGCAGTTGACCCCACAAGGTGTAGACCACATGGGGGATCTTCAAATGGCTGACCAGCATTGTTCGGATGAACCACAATTTTGTGCTCCGCCACGTGCAGACCACATGGGTGATCTGCAAATGACTGACCAGCAAACAACCCAACACAGTTTGGGCTAACACCATCTGGGTGATCTGCAAATTGTTGGCCAGCATCCAACAAATCAGCCTGAGAACCTCACCAATCTTTGTGGTCTGACAGCAACTAATATATGTCTTCACATTCTCCACTGCCCGTTTTATAAACCATCAGACTTCCTTGCAGTCGCCCTTCAGCTTGATGCTGATCTTCCCCAACGACAGCCAGAGGATTGTAATTATACCAGCGAAGGAGGCTTTACCATTGCTGTCCTACAAGTAGCAATGAGGGACCGTCAACTTGAACTACGCAATGCTCGAGCAGGTGAGTGGTTTAATCCTCCATCCCACATCTCTGCCTGCATTGTGCACGGCCCTGGCCATTACATGGCCATTGTACAAGCCTCTGACCACTGGGAGCTGTGGGACAACGGCACCATGGTCCATGCCATGATTGATGTCACTGATTTCTTACAAAATGATGCTGTTTTCTTGACACAACAAATCGTCCGCAATCTCTTTTATGTCGAAGATCATTCCTCTGGCCCCGTGCTGCAGCAAGACAATGTACCAACACTCTGCGACCTTCTCCTTTGCACAGCCACAAACACTGTTACACTCGGCTGTAGCCGCCATCGTCTCTGTCACAATCACTACAATGACATGGTTTCTGCATCCATGTGTGCAGAGGACTGTCCCACCATTCCTGACTGCAGGCACCCTCCGCATCCGGAGACTATATGTATATGTATATATTTATACATATCGTCAAACAGAGCTGCCCGATATATACATGTATATAATTGATGAGCAAGGCTACCCAGGTAAGTACTTCAATGAATGCCTGAGAAAATTCATACGTACTAAAGCCCCGTCATGGGACAAATGGGGGAAAAAGTTCTGTGGCTGGTAATTTCTAGTACCCTCATCTGCGGGCTGTTCTGATCTGCTGAGCCCCAACCAGATTTCCAGCCACGATTGCTTTTGGATCTACTCGATTCAAAGAGGAGACTTTCCCGGTTTTTTCTTCAGGGGAAGACTCTTGGGTGGAAAGCAATTTTGAAACTTCGGCCATTCTTACTGGAATAGAGTTACCGCGTTTTCTTGTTTGTCTTTTTGCTAGATCTTTAGTTAAAAAGTTTTTTGATTTACAGGCTACAAACAACACCAAGGCGGAAGCTGAGATACTGCGTTTGTCCTTTGTTAGATCTTTAGATATAGGGTTTTGATCTACCGACTACGAATAACTACAGGCCTTACTCGTTTTTTCTGAGTCCTTCCTGGAAACTGACCTATAGATGGCGGGAATACAGAGCCTAGCCCGATTTCTTTTTTCCTGAACATGCGGACTACGATCTGAACGTGGGATTTCTGTTTTTATTTCTGGTTTATCTCCGCAGCTTA